ACTAACAGGTCAGCTCAGAGTATGTGGCATAAGCACATAGGTGATGTGAATATACACATACCCATTTTATCATATTTTTGCCTTATGGAACTTTTAAAATGACATATAATAGTTATGTGTCATAAGTATTACTTAAATATAAATTTTATTTTATACAAAAAAACATAGTAAGTATCCATCTAATTTCTCTTTAAGTTAAAACAAAGGTGACCGTTCATGATTTATAAACTAAAAGGTTTAGACAAAAATAATTTACACCAGTCATGGTAGTGAAGTACTTGTGAAGTCGAGACAGAAAGAACTGAGTTAGAGGCCAACCTGGTTTACATGTAAAAACACTGACTAATTTTTTTTCTTTAAATAATGGAAAAAAACTGATGAAATCATCTAAATCTATATGAGTAGAAAGTCTGTGTAGAAAATAAATTAGACTCTGTTCCTTCTCTTTACTATAGTGCCAGAGACCAAACCCAGGGCCTTATACATGTTATATAGATTGTGTTTCAAAATAAGGCTCTGCCCCAGCCCTAGAATTTTTAAACAATATTTTAGAGATTGTAAATTTAGTCAAAACCTGTAGAATTTAATTTTATTTTTAACTCTTGGCTTATTTAAAATTATTAAAGTGATGTTAACAAGTATTTTGACTGAGTAAACTTCAAAGGGCTAATAATATTAAAACCTTGATAAAAATCTTTCAGACAATATCAACTCTGAATATAAGTTTATAAAATTCTGCACAGCAGAGCCACAGAAACTTTCTATAGACATCCTTAAACTGTCAAGAACTGAATTCAACTAACTGTAAAACACTAATGATATTTCGGTTTTTAAAATAAATAAGCAAAACAGAGATCAGAGGGCCTGTGTCGGTGTGCTTACCTGTGAATGTCTTTCGCAGAATGTAAATTCTTGTTCTAACAGGACATGTTGGTGATTTGGCTGAGAAAGCAAAGGGGTGTTCCAGTGAAGATTAAAAATGGTCCTCTAGCACACTGAGATGGCTTCTGTGCAGCAGAGGAAGTTTATCAATAGCACTTACAGGAAGTGCAATATGCCACAGAATGACTAAGAAGTGTGCTCCTTCAACACAGCTTATTTTGAAACACAATCTATATAACTTAAATGCTTGTAGCTGATGTTTGTAGCTGACCCCTTACTCTCTTGTCATGTGGTTATATAATCTAAAAATTTAGGACGGTGTCTTGCCTAAGAAATTATATATTCTGAGGTAAATTCTGAGGGAGATTTCTTTTTTTTTTTAAAGATTTATTTTTATTGTATGTATGTGAGTACACTGTTGCTGTCTTCAGACACACCAGAATAGGGCATCAGATCCCATTACAGATGGTTGTGAGCCACCATGTGGTTGCTGGGAATTGAACTCAGGACCTCTGGAAGAACAGTCAGTGCTCTTAACCACTGAGCCATCTCTCCAGCCCCTGAGGGAGATTTCTTATTGGAAGAAATGAGTGTTGTTTGGATCTTCTGCAAGTCAATGCCCTTCTTAGTCACCATTTCCTCCTCTGAAGAAATAGTACCTTGGAATATTGCAAGCACTAGATAAGGTGATGCCTCACATGATAGGTAAGCAGTACTTGTGAGTGTTATTCCTTCATTGACAGCACCCAAGGAAAGTATAGGCAGAGCATAAGTAAAAGTATAGTTAGGTTAGTCTCACCAATTTGATTTTGGTACTGTGGGTTACACATACTAGGCACGACTCTGCTAATGTGCTGTATGTTTGCCCGAATGCTTCCTTTAAAAAGAAGACATTTTTAGTTTTATATATATGTATGCCACATATGCATGAGTGCCCTCTGTGGCTAGAAGAGGGTTGAGGACCCCCAGAAGCTGAGATGCTCTTAGTGGTGAGCTGCCTGGACACAAGTGATGGGCATCCGAACTCAGTGCACTCCTTAACTATTAAGCTGTCTCTCCAGTCCCCCTAATACTTTCCAAATAAGAAATTGGCTAAGCCAAGTCTATTAAAGAGTATGAGTGTCTCTGAAGGAAAGTTTCTTTAAGTAGGTCTTTCTCTAGCCTCTTCCTCATCTGAAAAGTGAAAATTGCAATCCCTAACTTATTATGGGATGTAAATAAATGTAAACACCTCCTGGGTGTGCAGTATAGCAGATACAGTAAAAGCCAACATGTGGATCAGTGTCCCTAGTCACTGCCAAGGAGCATATATTACTATGACTTAGTTCTTAACTTGAAGGGACTTAAAAGTAATAGAATGTAATAAAATGTTATAAACAAACTTTTTATTTGGGGGGGGAATGGGATAAAGCTTTGGGTTTTTTTTTTTTTTTTTTGAGAACAGGATGTCATTGTATAACCTAGACTGGCCTTGAACTGTCTCCCTATTTCAGCCTCCCAAATGCTGGGATTACAGGCTTGTGCCACCACCACACCCTGCTGTTACAAAGCTTTTAATTTACTTTTAAATCTTTAGATTAAGATGATTATTATATCCAGGAATAGAAAATAAAAATGGTTTTGTTCAAAAATAACTTAGGAAATTTTGACTCTGTAGACATCTTTACTCTTTTTTTCATAAGTTCCCATTAAGATGTCATTCTTAGGATATGTGTTTAAAAATCAAGTATTGAGTAATAGATTTTAGATATTCCTGAAGTACATAAAAGTCTTCTGTTTTATTTGAAAATATTTGACAAATATGTTTGATATGGAAGGAATTTCTTAGTCACTTTCTGTCCTTAGAAAGAGGTTATTTTGTTCTGATTTCCTCTGACAAGTATTTGTTTATAACAGTTAGCTCTATGAGGATAGCTGAGTTATCATCCGCCGTCTGCCACCCAGCTTCATCTTTAATATGCAGAAAATGGGAGCACTGTCCGAAGTCATTTCCAGTCAGGGCTGTTTTACCCCTGAAAAGACTAGCAAAGTCTGGCATAATGATGTGTGCCTGTAATCTCAGCATTTTGGAGGTGGAACAGGAGACTCTGGTGTGTTGGAGATCATCAAACAGCGTGACTTTGAGGCCAGCCTGAGTTACAGAACAAACAAAACCCCTCACTCCACCCACAGACCTTCTAACAGCAAAAGGACTAGAGCAGAGCAGTCAGAAGAGATGTAAGAGAAAGAAAGATACTGGTCCGAGGGGCTGCTCGCCCTTGCGTGCTTTAGTTTTCATTTTGTCGACATTTTGCTTTATCTGTTGTAAAGTGGTTATGATTTACTGTTTAGGGAGATGAACTTTTTTTTAACTAGTAGTAAATTCATGAAAAAATTGGTATCAAGCAGTTAAGAGCACTGACTGCTCTTACAAAAAACCAAGTTCAGTTCCCAGCACCCACATGACAGCTCACAACCATCTATAACTCCAGTCCCAGAGAAGATCTGGTGCCCTCTTCTTGCACCAGACACATATGTAGTGCATAGATACATTTGCAAGCAAAATACCTATACACATTAAAAAAGAAAGAAAATAATTTGATTTCATCTGCCCCTTAACACAGAGTTTATTTAAAGATGTAACCCCGAATTTAAAGTAACAGAATTTGACAGAAGTGAATGTGATGGTTAAGGGTAACACCATCTAGGGAGTTAGGAAGAAACACTCAGAACTTGACCTAAGAGTCAGCTCATTATTACTGGACTCAGATGGAGGGCATGGGAATTAGGTATTGACATTTTTATTTGGTTCTGATGTATAGCCAGGATGCATAGCAAATTAAGAGGGAAATGTTAAGGGGCTAGAGGGATGGCTTAATAGTTAAAGGCACTTGCTCTTATAGAGAACACAAGTCTAACACCCAATTGGCAAGTCACAGCTGTCTGTAACTGCAGTTTCAGGGGATCTAACACCATTTTCTGGCCTTCAAGAGTACTGCATAAACATTGTGCATAGACATACATAGAGGCAAAACACTCACATAAAATAAAAATAAATCCTTAAATTTTTAATAAAGGAACATACTGGGCTGGAAAGATGGCTCAGAGGTTAAGAGCACATACAGGGGTCTTGAGTTCAATTCCCAGCAACCACATAGTAGCTCATAGCCATCTATAATGAGATCTGGTGACCTCTTCTGACCTGCAGGCATACTTGCAGACAGAATGCTGGATACATAAATAAATACATTCATTCATACATAATATACATATACATACATACTTACTTACTTACATATATACATACATACATTTCTTTTTTTAGAAAAAGGAACATACTGCTCTTGCAAAGACCCAGGTTTAGTTGCCAGTACTCGAATCAGGTGGTTCACCATCACCTGTAACTCCAGCTCCAGAGCAATGTTGAATAAACTAGATTCTGTGAGCACCTGTACTTGTAAATGTGCACACACACACACACACTTCACTTTCTTTTATTTATGCTGCTCTGGAGAGTAAATGTCAAATTTGATCATTTATATGTTACTTAGCAAATTTACACTCTAAACATTAGCCAATTTTAAGGCATTTGTTATGGTTTGTTGTTAATGCTTAAGACAGGATTGCACTGTGCAGGCCAGACTAGCCTCAAACTCAGAAGCCTCTGATTTGAGCTTCCAAAATGTTGAGAATACAGGTGTGTGTTACCACACCTGGCTGGTGTTTTTTTATTAATCTTCTAGTAAACTGTGTATACAAAATATAAATGTTACTCTTTTTTGAAAAGTTACTTTATGTATATGAATGTTTCATGCATATGTGTTTATGTTTGTGTACCATATGTATGCCTGGTGCCCAAGGAAGCCAGGATCCCTTGGAACTGGAGTTGCAACCAGCTCTGAGGCTTGTGTGAGTGCTGGGAATAGAACCAGGGTTCTTTTGAAAAATAGTCAATGCCTTCCTTCCTTCTGAGCCATCTCTCCAGTCCTTTCAAATGTTATTCTTGAACACTAAAACATGTTTGTATTTATTCATAGCCTTCTGTTGTGGGTGTGAATCTCATCTATTTTGGTTGTGTTGTTTTTTCTTATTTTTATAACATATTCTAAAACAACCTAAATGAAAGATACATAGTCAGCTTTGTTCTAAAGTCTGTCTTCATTTATTGTACAAAATTAAATTTTAATGTGTTATGTGTAGGTGAAAAGCACTTTTGTCTTGTGCCATATGTAAAGGTAAAGAGATGTAGCCTAACATTAGCTGTGCTAAGATACCAACTGGTACAGGTTCTATCTTATCCAGTGAGAATGTACCATTGCATTACACAGTTGAATTCTACACGTTAGGAATTTGACTTCTGCTAGGCATTGTGGCATCTGCTTGGCTATAAGGGCTTAATAGAACTCTTCCAAGTTCAAGTACATTCATACAGAGGTCATTCACTGCAGAACAGGAGTATTTAGTTACTTCATGTTATTTCTATTAGTTTCTTCCGCTTCTGTTGTTTTATTTTCTCCAAATATATGAAATATGAAACAGAAATAAAACTTCAGCAGGCATACATCTCCCTTCCTGGTCTGTTTGATGCTAAACAAACAGCATGTCAGACTTTTGATCATCTGAGCAAACACGGATGTGAAATACCACCAGCCAGCTTTATTTTTAACTCAGCCTTCCTCGTTGCTGCTTTGTATTTCCCTTTCCAGACCATGGCCTAGTTGAGTTTTTCAGTTCCTTCTTCATGCTTCCTTTCCCTGGCAGCTGTAAGCACACCAGTGGATTGCATCAGGAGGTTTGGGCCTGTGAGCTCCTTTGCTCTTTTCCAAGTGTCCGATTCAGCAGTCCAGAGCCCACTGCTTGCCAGAAAGTCACCATTGCTCCGAGGCTGGCGCTTGCCTACTTGCTTTGACCTTCTGAGAGATGAGACTTTGTTTGCCAGAACCACAGTTGATAGAAACAGAAAGGTACAGATAAGGAAAAGCACTGCAATCACAATTAAGCAAATTAGCATGGCTGTGTTGCTGGTGTTATCACAGGCTTCCTTTTTAAAAGTTTCCCCCTGACTTTTGATCTCTGCTGTTGGAGAACAGTTTTTGAAGGGTGTGGAGGACTTGAGTGTAGATGTAGGCACAGTGGGAGATGATACAGGCTTGTCTGTGGCACTCACCTTGTGACCCACTGCAGGAGTGACAGGGTTTGTGTTCTCACTCAGATGACTTCTTGTGCTGTTTTGATTAATGGAACCTGAGGCATTGATACTGTTAGCCCACAGGTGTGTATAGTTTGCTTTTGTTCCAGGAGATGAGGACCACACTGTTGTCATCAGGAAAACAAGATGCAGGTACTGTCCTGTGTGCTCCATGCCTACAGGTATGCTGGTATCTGTTGAGACAGCAGTATCAATTGTTAGTTTGTGGAAGAACAGTGTCTGGCACATGTGGTAATTGTAGATAATTGGCTGTACTTGAGATAGCACAAGGACACCAGAGATCCATGCCTACCTTTTGCTATTGGATTCTTCTCAAGTGAATTTGTTACTTTGTTTTTTAACTGAATTTTCATTCCTGTTCTTAGATTGTACATAAAAATTAAAAATTTTGTTGTACATTCTGATGCTATAAGTTAGCATTACAAATATGTTGACCATGTTTAACCTTACACCATAGCTGTACATATTCTCCCTTTTAAGGTAGTACCCTGGACCTCAGCTTGTAGTCAGATGCTTCTGCTTTTGTGCTCATGCTTCCTCTTTGAAGGCTCCTTCTTACGGAAGTGTCCACCGTCTGAAAAGCATGCCCTCATCTTGAAGTAAAGGAGAAGGTGGCCTTGAAAGTTTTGTTTCAAGCTTAAAAAGATATCACAAGTGGCTTTTCTTTTGTAGGAGAGGTAGGGTAGAGGTTTGGAACCTGAGAGTGAGTGTACGTCAAGTGAGAATTTGAAATGCTGTTAGTCTTTCCAGTATGATGTTAAGCAACCTGAGGATTCTGGTTCTAGAATGTAGCCTTGTGGGCATGGCTGACTCCCTCTATTGCTGTAGCTGACTATGTCTTTCTAAATAGCAGAGGCGTAGTGCTTCTCTCAGCCTAGAATCAGGAAAGCAAAAGACTTCTTTTGCACTCAGAAGTATATCAGTCAAAGGTGGCCACCCCTGTTGTCATTTTGTAACTGACATTTTTTTCTCCCTTATTTTAACAGAAATCTACAAAAGAAATTATAGAGAAAATGAAAAGGAATCACTCATCAGGCTCCTGGGGCCCTAGAACACAGTGTCTAAGTGTGAGCAGTTCATTTTAACATTAGAAGGCTGGGCGCCCAGTCTCAGCCTTGTGCTAGCTCATGCTCAGCCCTCATCCTACCCCTCCTCCCCAAAACTGAAGCTTAGTTTGGGGCTCAGAGCTTCCTAGAAGCCAGTGCATAAAAGGACAAAATTCTGTTCTTAGCTCTTGTTATCGACCATCTGCTTAGCGATCTCCCTGGGGCTGTCATGTCTGCCCCAAGTACAGCTAACCTAGCAAGAGACATTTTGGTTACACCTTTAGTGAAGTGAGTTGTTTCTTCTCTTTAAAAGATCAGCCTATCTCCGCCTCGTGAGTTCTGGGATCAAAGGTGGGTAGCCAGGACCAGCTTAGGTATTTATAATACTACACTAGTTCTCCAGAGTAACTCTTGAAAGAATATTTTATTCAGAGCATAAATGAGAGGAGACTAGATTGTTCTAAGAATTAATGAGTATAGTTGTCTTATTAGGAACCCTATATGTTTTATAGATGCTACTTTCAAACTTGATTATATGGAGGAGGGTTTTTGTTTTTGTTTTCAGATCTAGGTTAGGGCCTAAGATTCTGTCTAAACTACTCCCAAGTGGTACAGACACCACCTTGCTAGTCACACTTGAGCCAGGGAGGTTTACTGTGGTATAATATATGCCATTCGACCATATTGGAATGCTGATAAACACAGAAGTTGAGATTAACAGATGAGATACACTAAGTTGCACGGACAAAAATAGCATATACTAAATAATGCTAATGAGAAACTATGTTTTGATTAATATTTTATACTAAGAGTGGAGAGGGGGAAAATCCCTAGTGTTCTGGGATCCAGATCACTACTGGGATTATGACTGTTAGTAAACGCTTAAAGATACAGACCACTGACTTTTGTGTGATAGTATTCAGCTTTAGTCTTCAGTTGAATGATAGGATTCTCTGGATACTTTATAAGTCAGTCACATACACCCCCCCCCAAAAAAAAGCACTTTAAATTGATTTAGTAAGAAATGTCCATCCTTTTCTACCAGAGTAGACTTACGCATTCAGTGTTAAAATGACTTAGTGTAGGTTATTATAATTACATGAGTTCATTCACAGTGCAGTACACATCACATTATTCTACATGCTAGCAGTGTACCGCAGGACGACATAATAGGTCTGCTGTTGATTGTCTTCAGCCAGATGTGCTGTCATGCCCCAGTAAACAAGCTGCTGGCAAAATGCGACTCTTTATTTTGCTCACAACTGCCTGAGAATAGAAACTGTTTCTATATCTCTGTTTTATGCCCCAGAGGCCAGGTTGGGTTAGCAAGGTTTTGATTTTCTGGTTTTGTTTTTTGTCTCATCATTTTTAGTCAGATTTGTAATGCCTAAGCTTTAATAATAAGAATGTATTTCCTTAATTTAAAAACAAAACCAAAAAGCCAAAGCTTTTCAAATCATTTGAGTACAAACTCAAGATCTTCCTCATCCTGATTTAAAATTCCATATTAATAATTATAAATTTTCCTAGCTCTAATTGGTTATGCTGTTTATTTAATTTTTCATAATGGAATAGAAAACACATAACAATTCTACATTGTTAGATAGATATATGTATACATCTTTGAAAAAGCACTTCCTCTCCACTAACATGAACAGTTATAAGTGGGAAGGAATAAGAAAGCCACATGTGCGACCTACCTTACAGAGCGCTCTGTCCCAACCTTTACTTAATAAGCCACTTCTGTTCTTCTCTTCTTATTTTAAGTAGAATAGTTTGGAGACTATGAAACTTAAATCCGCAGGGGTTTTTAAAGAGGATATGTACAGCTAGCTTTCCACTTTTAAAACCAAACCACAGATGACACATTTCCTTTCCGCTGCAACTCAAACACATGTCACGGGGAAAAGCAAAGACTGACTTGTCCAGTTGGCAATGGGATGACAAGAGGCTTTGTAGCACCAGTCTCCTCCCCTAGAATGGGGAGGGCGTTCACGCTCTCTCTCTTTCTCCCTCTCCGTCTCCCTCTCCCTCTCCCTCTCCCTCTCCCT